GAGGGCGGGGATGCCCTCGGGCTCCCGGGGACACTAACAGACACCTGCGCCCCGGGAGAGTGCGCCGAGCTCCCTAAGGGCTGCAGCGCGCACGGCGGGGCCGGAGCAGCTCGGAGGGGCTCGGGCGGCGGCTCCGCGGAGGGGGCTGCGGGGCGGGAGCGCGAATCCACCAGCGCAGGCCCCGGAGCACAGGGCGCCGGGACACAGCCCAGGATCCGGCCTCCCCCGGGACAGGCAGAGGCCGGGAGGGCCCAGGACAGCGAGGACGCTCCTGCCCCGAGCTGAGCAGATCAGCGGCCCCGCCCCGGAGCCTCCAGGCCCTGCGGACGGAGAACCGAGAGCCCCGAGCCCCGTAGTTCCTGCGGAGGCTGAATCCAGGCTTCCAGAGTTGCCATAGCAACTGCGGCTGTTCCTCCTGGGGCCCCACGGGGTAAACAACCCCCGCTGAGCCCTGCAGCAGGCAGGGGCAGAGCAGCTCCCCCAAGTGCTAACACCTGAGAATCAGCACAGCAGGCCCCTCCCCCAGAAGACCAGCTGGACGGACCAGTGATACTCCCCCGTGTTCCAATACATCTTGTTTTTGGCCACTCTGCACTGAGCAAAATGACCAGAAGGAAAACCTCACCTCAAAAGAAAGAATCAGAAACAGCCCTCTCTCCCACAGAGTTACAAAATCTGGATTACACTTCAATGTCAGAAAGCCAATTCAGAAGCACCATTCTACAGCTACTGGTGGCTCTAGAAAAAAGCATTAAGGCCTCACGAGACTTCATGACTGCAGAATTTAGATCCAATCAGGCAGAAATTAAAAATCAATTGAATGAGATGCAATCCAAACTAGAAGTCCTAACGACGAGGGTTAACGAGGTGGAAGAACGAGTGAGTGACATAGAAGACAAGTTAATGGCAAAGAGGGAAACTGAGGAAAAAAGAGACAATCAATTAAGGACCATGAAGACAGATTAAGGCAAATAAATGACACTCTAAGGAAGAAAAACCTACATTTAATTGGGGTTCCCGAGGGCGCCGAAAGGGACAGAGGGCCAGAATATGTATTTGAACAAATCCTAGCTGAAAACTTTCCCAATCTGGGAAGGGAAACAGGCATTCAGATCCAGGAAATAGAGAGATCCCCCCCTAAAATCAATAAAAACCGTTCAACACCTCGACATCTAATAGTGAAGCTTGCAAATTCCAAAGATAAAGAGAAGATCCTTAAAGCAGCAAGAGACAAGAAGTCCCTGACTTTCATGGGGAGGAATATTAGGGTAACAGCAGACCTCTCCACAGAGACCTGGCAGGCCAGAAAGGGCTGGCAGGATATATTCAGGGTCCTAAATGAGAAGAACATGCAACCAAGAATACTTTATCCAGCAAGGCTCTCATTCAAAATGGAAGGAGAGATAAAGAGCTTCCAAGACAGGCAGGAACTGAAAGAATATGTGACCTCCAAACCAGCTCTGCAAGAAATTTTAAGGGGGACTCTTAAAACTCCCCTTTAAGAAGAAGTTCAGTGGAACAATCCACAAAAACAAGGACTAAATAGATATCATGATGACACAAAACTCATATCTGTCAATAGTAACTCTGAACGTGAATGGGCTTAATGACCCCATCAAAAGGCGCAGGGTTTCAGACTGGATAAAAAAACAGGACCCACCTATTTGCTGTCTACAAGAGACTCATTTTAGACAGAAAGACACCTACAACCTGAAAATAAAAGGTTGGAGAACCATTTACCATTCAAATGGTTCTCAAAATATATCCTAAAAACTATAGAACACTTCTGAAAGAAATTGAGGAAGACACAAAGAGATGGAAAAATATTCCACGCTCATGGATTGGCAGAATTAATATTGTGAAAATGTCAATTTTACCCAGGGCAATTTACACGTATAATGCAATCCCTATCAAAATACCATGGACTTTCTTCAGAGACTTAGAACAAGTTATTTTAAGATTTGTGTGGAATCAGAAAAGACCCCGAACAGCCAGGGGAATTTTAAAAAAGAAAACCATATCTGGGGGCATCACAATGCCAGATTTCAGGTTGTACTACAAAGCTGTGTTCATCAAGACAGTGTGGTACTGGCACAAAAACAGACATATAGATCAATGGAACAGAATAGAGAACCCAGAAGTGGACCCTGAACTTTATGGTCAACTAATATACGATAAAGGAGGAAAGACGATCCACTGGAAGAAAGACAGTCTCTTCAATAAATGGTGCTGGGAAAATTGGACATCCACATGCAGAAGAATGAAACTGGACCACTCTCTTGCACCATACACAAAGATAAACTCAAAATAGATGAAAGATCTAAATGTGAGACAAGATTCCATCAAAATCCCAGAGGAGAACTCAGGCAACACCCTTTTTGAACTTGGCCACAGTAACCGGAGGACAAACAGTGTATGTTCTCATTCATTTGGGGAATATGAATAATAGTGAAAGGGAATATAAGGGAAGGGAGAAGAAATGTGTGAGAAATATCAGAAAGGGAGACAGAACATAAAGACTTCTAACTCTGGGAAATGAACTAGGGGTGGTGGAGGGGGAGGAGGGCAGGGGGTGGGGGTGAATGGGTGACGGGCACTGAGGGGTACACTTGACGGGATGAGCACTGGGTGTTATTCTGTATGTTGGTAAATTGAACACCAATAAAAATTAATTTATATAAAAAATCTGTGAGATGAAAACAATTAGAAAAATATTTAATACAGACTTTATCATCATTATATAAATTTCCTTGCAAAACAAAAACCTAAGTATATAACATCAGGAGATGAATACTTTAGTAATCCCAACATAGAAATAAATTATAGTCTGTGATTATGAGATATCTGGAAAAGTGCTTGACATTGCCTAAAATCCCCATTATTAGGTGATAGTTTTGGTTTTGGAAGTTTGGCTATGACAATAATAGTGATTACTGAACAGCTGTTATATTAAAACATTTGACAATGAGACTATTCTGGAAGAAAATATGAACTATATAGAAACAGTAAGATTAAATTTGCTTTAAAAGGGAGGGAAAACTGAGTGGGAAGTCATCAGAGAAGGAGACAAACAAACTGAGGGTTATTGGAGAGAAGGTGGGGGAGGGGGGTAGTGGATGATGGTCATGAGATGTGATGAGCACTGGGTGCTATATCCAACTGACAAATTATTGAACACTACATCTGAAACTAATAACGTACTATATGTTAGCTAATTGAATTTAAATAAAAAGGATATTTTTTGAAAATAAAAAATCATATTACATATTTACCTAAAGTAAATTGTCAGGCAATGAGAAAAAAGTTCCATAGACTTATAGATTTTTAACAGCAAAGATTTATTGCTATGAGCTAAATATCATTCCATTTGAAAAACATTCTTTTTACAAACTCAAAGCTGCTGTTTACTACATATTACAAAAGTGCCATTAGCCAAGGCTATGCTTTCTTTCTTGACAATTGTGGTGATAACAATGATACAGAGTTCCTGATGCATATCTGAGTAAGCAGAACAATAAATACTATATGGAATGTTGAAAATAAACAACATAGAGTTCTAATAGTCATTTGTTTAAAAAAACTATTGGCATTTTTTCAAGTAGCTGTACTGTTTTATGGAAGTTTCCTAAGGGCCAATTTTAAGTGAATCCCCTTGTACTCTGGTATGACAGGATACCTTTGCATTTCCATTTTGGTATTTCTTTTAAACCTTGACAGTGAGTGTGGCTGGTTGGCTCAGGCAATTAAACATGCAACTCTAGATCTCAGGGTATTGAATTCAAGCTCTATGTTGGGAGTGGTGCCTACTTAAAAAAAAAGAAAAAGAATAATAATCAACTGGCAAAAATGGAACTTCCAGGATGCCTGGGTGGCTCAGCAGTTAAGCGTCCACCTTCAGCTCAGGCTGTGATCCTGGAGTCCCACATCGGGCTCCTGGCATGGAGCCTGCCTCACCCTCTGCCTATGTCTCTGCCTCTCTCTCTCTCTCTCTCTCTCTCTCTCTCTCTCTTTCTCTCATGAATAAATAAACAAAATATTAAAAAAAGAAATGGAATTGTCATAAAAAGGAGTTTGTGGAATTATTTTTTTTAAGTTAAATATTCAAATTGTAAAAGTTCTAGGCAAAGATGGCATACAAAATGCACAGGCCTCCTATTTTACAGGAACAAGTAGAATTCCCTGTGTATTTGCTTGAATTCTACCTCTCAAACATTGATCTTGCTGGTCTAAGGTGAGTCTTTAACTCCATTGATCTGTACAATAGATCAGCTCCTCTAGAGTTGTAAAGAAGGAAGATTGAGTGCACTCTCTGGAACTGGTTTTCACTGAGTTAGTAGAGATTCAGAGTAATAATTTGCAAATGTAAGGGATACAAATTACATAGTGGCATAAAATTATTTTAAACTGGAGATGCCTGGGAATCAGTCAAATCATAAAGAGGCTTTTGCAGAGTTTCTCTTATCTGACTAAGGCAGGAACCTCCAAGAATGAGTCTCCCATAATTGCTCTCTCCCTAGAGTTTTGTCTGCCAAGAGAGAAGACAGAGAAGACCACTTGCCTCTGTATAAACAAGAAATACCACAAAATTTCTTATTTCTCCTGTTTCCCTCAAAAGCACATTTGTTCTTCCCATAGAAGCCTTTCCCCTACTAAATTAAGTATATGCACCCCCACCTCCAATTATTGAGCAAGCTACTTTTTTTGTGCATCTTATTTATGTTTGAATAAACTGTGTATTCACTTGTTAACCTGTCTTTTGTTGGTGAAGTTTACAGGTCCTCAAACCATAAACCTAACAGGACAGAGGAAATGTCTTCCATCCCAGACAGAATGATTGCAGGTATATGTATTATAAATACATGCATAATATATTTAATATATGTCTGTGTGTTTCCAAAAGCCAATAATGAATACCATTTTTCTTCCAACAAATCTCATAGGTATTTAACAATGCACCTGCCTGCAGAATCAATAAACATCCCTTAAAAAAAAATTCATGGTCACTGAGCAAATACTTTTCTCAAAATAATTCTTTTCATTGCTTCTTTGGCCTCTCTATTTCTCACACTGTATATCAGGAAATTTAGGACTGGTAGCAAAAGAGTATAAAACATGGACAAAACTTTGGCTCTATCCCATGGGTAGCTAGAGCTGCTTCCCAGATAAGTAAATATCACTGTTCCATAGAAAAGAGTCACTACTGTGAGGTGAGAAGCACATGTGGAGAACGCTTTATATCTGCTCCTTGTGGAGTGTAACTTCAGGACAGTGAGGAGGATTCCCAGATAAGAACTAACCACTATCAGAAAGGTAGTCACCGATGTTGTGCCAGAGAAGACAATAAATAAAATTTCACTAGATTGGGTGTCAGAACAGGACAGTTGAAAAAGCAGTGGGATGTCACAGAAGTAATGGTTGATGACGTTGGGCCCACAGAAAGACAGGCTGAGCAAGCTGCTCAGGTGGGTGAGTGAGCTAGCAGAACCTACTAGGTAGCAAGCAGTCACCAAGTGGACACAGAATGTGTGGGTCATGAGGCCTTTGTAGTGAAGTGGGCAGCAAATGGCGACATACCGATCATAGGCCATGGCAGCCAGGAGGAAGCATTCGGTGGTCAAGAACATGTTGACGAAGGAATACTGAAGGAGGCAACCATGATAGGAGATGGCTTTCTGTCCTGCTATGTAGTTCACCAACATCTTAGGAATAAAGACTGAGGAATAGCAGAAATCCAAGAAAGCCAACTGGCAAAGGAAAAAGTACTTGGGGGAATGGAGCTGGGCACTTACCCAGATTACTGCGATAATCCAAGCATTGCCCACCACTGTGACGAGGTAGATTGAGAGAAACAGCACGAATAGGGCAGTGTTCAGGTCAGGGTTATCGGTCAGTCCCAGGAGAATGAATTCAGTTACTACACTGACATTTCTGTTGGCCATGTGTGTGTCCCCCCCTTTAGGGGGATCTGCAGGGAACAAGAGAACAATGAAAATAACCAGAGTATGGCCTGGATATATGAATTCAGTCTACTAGCATCTTTAGAAAACTGCATGGTCTTAGTTAACAACATAGTCCACAGGAAATTCAGTTCTCACAAGTGTGAGAAGTCAACCTGATAGGAGACTTTGGTTGACTCAATGTCTCATCAGGGGATATAAACTGACATTACGCATGGTGAGAACCCTGGAAGAATCAAAACTCTTGGAAAGCCTCATAAGTTTAACAGAAAGACTTTAGGAGATGGGGCCCTGGTAACAGTATACTCCAGATTCCAGACCACAAGGCGAGGGCCCTGTATTTTTAGGAAATACATTCCTTAATAAAAAACAAAAAAGCCTCAATATTTAACAGGTAAATTTATGAGATATGTAGCAAAACTACTGCCTGTGACATCTTTTTAATTTAGATAATACACGACACATATTACATAATTTATATATAGATTTATATATATATAGACAATATATACATGATTTGATTTATAGACTAGCCTTAAAAATGGAAAATGAGAATTAGTTATGTCTAGAATAGAGGATGAAAAAAATTCAAACATTTTCTAGTCCTAACATTACTTATTTGTTAAAACTCATTTGTTCTGGGAAGTTGCTCTTTGCTATTCCAACAGATATTTATCATTCCATTTTCTGATTTCCTAGAGTATTTATTACCCAATGGCTTGGATTAGTCCATATCATATTTTTTTTCATTAAGATTAAATCAAGAAGCTTTAATATGTTTTCATCTCTGCAGTCAAAAGGCCTTGAGTCTAATTTCAAAGACTATGCATATACTTTTGGTACATTAGATGATGCATGGATACAGATTTTTATCAAGAAATATATTATTAAATTAGGTTTATTTTAGGCTTTCTCATATAATTCAGAATACATGAAAAATAAGATTATGATAGCTGGTATATTGGGTAAACACTTGATTAAATAATTATTAGGGAAAACTTTCCTTACCACAAGATTTATAGGAATACATAATGCACTGCTATATTTTGGGAGTTTCCAATAAGAGAAATAAATATAGATCACGCTTCACATTAATTTGACAATTGAATCTATTTTCATGAACATTAATTAATATGCTGTTTCACAATTCAGGCTTTGGCAATAATATTTCCCCGATAGTGAATAAAAAGTGAGAATGAGGAGATCCCTGAGTGGCTCAGCGGTTAGCACCTGCCTTCGGCTTAGGGTGCAATCCTGGAGACCGGGGATCGAGTCCCACATCAGACTCCCTGCATGGAGCCTGCTTCTGCCTCTGCCTGTTTCTCTCTCTCTCTTTCTCTCTGTGTGTGTCTCTCATGAATAAATAAATAAAATCTTAAAAAAAAGTGAGAATGACATAGATTTGGATCTGATTCTGTGATACTGTGTTTTTATTCCCAGAGTGATATAAAGTAAGTGAGTAACAATTCAAATGTTGCAAACCTTGGGACAAGACTGTTTTGACCATATCTACATTACTGAGATGCCAGAGGTAAAAAAGAAGAATGAGGTCTTTTTTTGTTCATTTATTTCTTTTTGTTTTTTTGCTGAATTAAACTGTGATTTCAATCTTAAATCCTAGTTTCTAGATTAACTACGATTTTATCTGTTAACCTTCCTCAGGAGATAGCTGTGATAAATAAGAAACTATGTAAAAACTGTCTGGCACACTCCCTAAATGCTTGCTGTATAGTCAAAGTAGAACAACCAAGTGAAACAAAAATTGCATTCTCTATTGACATACTGGACAAATGGCTTTTGACTGAGGTAATTTTTTGGATCTTAGGTTTTGTTTGTTTGTTTGTTTGTTTGTTTGTTTCATTTTGTTTAGATAGTTTTGCCTCCCTTGACTTTGTTTTTATTTTATTTTTTATTTATTTTTTAAAGATTTTATTTATTTATTCATGAAAGACCCAGAGCGAGAGAGAGAGAGAGAGAGAGAGAGAGAGAGAGAGAGAGAGGCAGAGACACAGGCAGAGGAAGAGGCAGGCTCCTCTCAGGGAGCCCGATGTGGGACTTGATCCTGGGACTCCAGGATCATGTCCTGAGCCGAAGGCAGGTGCTCAACCACTGAGCCACCCAGATATCCCGACTTTGTTTTTAAACAAATCAATTTGTTACTTTGACGATTAGTACCCCCTTATGTCACTGATTTCAGCTTTATTGCTTTGATTTTCATTTAATAAGTAGTAATTTTCATCTGGATTGCCTTTCATGCCATTTTTCTTTTACTGTAAAGTCAGTTATATATGATAAATTAACTGAGTTTAGATTCTTTGAATATAAAATTTAGCTCTGATAACAGGGCCAAAAATAACCACTCTCAGATTTAACACAATTTAACAGCTTGTAATAATTAAATTTAAATGTTAAAGAATATCTTTAAATAAATTTACTACTATAATTTACATAATTATATGTAGCTCTAAATAAAGCTACCTGATGAAATAGGGGATGAACTCAATACTTTTTTAAAAGATTTATTTATTTATTTATTTATTTATTTATTTATTTATTTATTTATTTGAGACAGTGAGAGCATGAGTGAAAGGGGTAGAAGGGGACAGAGAATCTCAAGCAGACTCTCCGCTGAGCAGGGAACCCACTCAGGGCTTAATCTCACCACCCTGAGATCATGACCTGAGCAAAAATTGAGTCCGACACTTGACCTGAGCAAAAATTGAGTCCTACACCTAGGAACCCTGAACCCACTAATTATTCTAAGAGAGCTATTTTATGTGATAATGATCTAATTCTATTTCACCTCATTCAGTAATTTGAATGGATTTGAAGCAGATGATTTTTCATCACATTCCATTCATAGCATGTATTAAGAGTTGCCATTTTTGAAAACTGGAGAGGCATGTATAATTCCTTTGTTAGAATACATAAATATAACACCTACCTGGTGTTGAGAGGAAGCTTAGACCTTTCTCTTAGTTTCCTGACTTGTGTTTATATTTGGTTTAGGGTCTTTGGAGGATGAAATCCCCAGTGATTCTGTGATACTGTGTTTCATTAAAAGAGCAAAGAGAGATTTGGGAAAGGTAAGGTCCCAGTGCTGTCTTACCAAATTGTAGCCATTTATGGATTTGGCCATTTCTCAGTTTTAGAGGAAACTGTCACATAAATTCATGTCTCACTTTATGAGGCTCTGCAAATAAACCATCTAAATAAGTGAAAATGAACTCCAGCAGTGTTTATCATTATAATTTACATTATATATAATATCATATATATATATATTTAGTTTTAAAGAGCACTAAGTTACATTTGTTGATGACCATATGCTTCTATATATTTGCATCATTATTGGTAGTAATTATGGAAAATATGCATATATTTCAATCTGAGATAACCCAAAAGAAGTGAAAGCAATCATCAATCACTAGATAGAATTCAAGTGTGTGTGTTCATGCACTAGATTGCCTTTTAATACAAGAGATAATTTACCCAATTAAGACACTAAAATAAACATTAAGTTTAACATTTTTTGTCACTGTGGTCTTTGAACATAAATGTACATTTTAAAAATTCTAGGTTGGCTGCTACTTGAAGGATAGAATGAAAAATATAAAAGGTGGTAAATCAGAGTGAAATGGTGGACATTTATGTTTAGTAACAAAGGGGAGGGGGCAAATAAGAATAAATAAGTCAGTGGTACAGGTCAAATGCAGCCAAACCAACAAATAGCTATACAAGAACAAGGTGTTACAGATTTGCAGTGATTTTAAAGTGAAGCAATGACAAACATTGTATGGTCTCATTCATTTGGGGAATATAAAGGATAGTGAAATGGAATAAAGGGGAAAGGAGAAAATATGAGTGGGGAATATCAGAAAGGGAGACAGAACATTAGAGACTCCTAACTCTGGGAAATGAACTAGGGGTGGTGGAAGGGGAGGTGGGTGGGGGGTGGGGGTGACTGGGTGACAGGCACTGAGGGGGACATTGATGGGATGAGCACTGGGTGTTACGCTATATGTTGGCAAATTGAACACCAATAAAAAATAAATTTATAAATTAAAAAAATACAGGTAACAAAAAAAAATAAAGTGAAGCAATAGTTAAAGAGGCTAACACACAGGGAATGTTATAATAATTTTACTAACAACAGTGTTGTTTTTTCTTTGGCAACCAAATATTAAGTAAGATCCTCATTGGGTTGTTGTTGTTGCTGTTGTTGTTAAATGCCCAATATGGGCAGCCCAGGTGGCTCAGCAGTTTAGTGCCGCCTTCAGCGCAGGGCGTCATCCTGGAGTCCCCGGATCGAGTCCCACGTCCGGCTCCCTGAATGGAGCCTGCTTCTACCTCTGCCTGTGTCTCTGCCTCTCTCTCTCTCTGTGTGTCTCATGAATAAATAAATAAAATCCTAAAAAAAAAAATGCCTAGTATGTTCGAAGCATTTCACCACTATTATCTCTAATCTTTATGCAATTTTATTTAATTAAATATTCTGATCCATATGATTCACATTATACGTGGCCCAGAATAATTAAAGGAATTATCTGAGTTTAGACTTAAGGAAATGGTGGAACAATATCGTAACATAATGATAGTCTGGTGTAAAAATTTGTGTTGCTCTTACTGTTTATTCCATAAAGCCTTTCAATATTTACTAAGGAGTGAACATAATAATGATGGAATTTGAAACCATATTGCATGAAAAATAGTGGGAAAGATAGGAAATATCTAGTGCTAGAAAAATTAGATTCAGGATAATATTCTAATTCAGCAAACAGTGAACATCTGAACAGTCTAAGAATGAAAAGTGAGAATATGTGAATTTTAAGACTTCATAAGATGTATCTAAGAATGATACCTGCTCAAAAGAAAGAGATGGGTCTTGTTTAAATTGAAAAAAAAAGGTCATATTTAATTGGTAAAATTTTAATTAGTTTTATAGAAGAAGGATGACTAACATTGGACCATTTTTAGGGGGGATTCTATATCAGATATCAGGTTCTATATTGATAGGGTTTTGATATGATGAAAATATGCTTCTTAGATATTTATCATCCTGGGAATTACAATTTGTTCACAGGCTGCAATTGACCAAGGACTAGCCTGGGATCAATGTAATCACTATTGTGTTCACAGCACAAAACCAAATTTCAAATCTTAGGAACCATAAATTCATTAAAATAACTTGTTTCTTAATAAACAACAAACATGACCACTGTGCAAATGTACCCACAACTTGTCCAAGCAGTGCTGGTGACTTATTTCCCTGATGAATTAGACCAATTCAAAATCTACAGACATGAAATAAAATAATAATAGTAATAATAACACCTATTTAGATATAAAAGTTATGTTTAGTAAACATCTACTGATTCTGATTTCTCCAAGTGTTGATGTTGAGCAGTAACCAATTTTATGGATGGGTAAATGTATTGGAGCTGAAAGAGCTCATTCTCAATTTTTTTTCCTGATATTTTACATGAAAGTTGAAGAAATAGCATCAGATGTTTCATTCATGAAGTCTTCATTTATTTCTAATTGACTAATTATATTAACCATTTAAGGACATTTGGAATCTGTTCAACCAAGTTGCATTGGCTCTACACACACACACACACACACACACACACACACACACGACGAGGTATATATATGGTAGTACTCATATTATCCATTATATAGAATATATTACTCATTTTCAAATCTTCATCCTATAAATCTGCCATACATCTCTCATTTGTCTCACAATTTAGGAAAGGGATTACTTTTTTCTTATTTGACCATCTAGTTACTGTATATAATAGTTGCTATATATACAATAATACAGCAACTCATTTGTTCAGATGAATTAAAGGTCATCATTAAACATAAACCAATATGGTATTTTTGTTCCACAAAATAACTCTCCTCCATAAATGCCCACTTAGTAAACTGTTATTTTATCTTTATCTTGGCCAGCCCCTTATTTTATGGGGTAAGTATTGTAACAGAATTTAATTTATTTTTCTGAGTTCTAATTATCTGGCTTATATATCATATCATTCCTTGTGTTGATACTCTAGGATATGAGATATTGAATGCTTTTGAAAAAATTGTGAAGAATGATGCAAAATTAGGTTTACTTATTATTATTTTATTTTTTGATTTTTTTCTGAAAATAAAAACTTTAATACAAATTCACTTTTATGAATGCCTTTTATACATAAATGTCACATATATGTAGCCTTAAGGGACCCAAATTCAAGTAATATATTAAATGATCATGGAAAACCATAAAGGTCCATACAAATGTTATGTGATGTTCTTGGGGTTGTTGTTGTTGGTATTATTATTTAATTCTGAAAAGTAAATGTTTAAATGAATTTCTTTGCATGCATATCTAACATAATGAAGATTTCAATTTACTATCTTTATTCACATTTCAATTTGCTGCCTGCAGAGATATTGGAGCCATTCACTCATGAGTTTGGCTGTCACTGAGAGGAAAAAAAAATAGAAGTTTAATCTAGCTTGCCTTGTAAAACCACATATTAATATTTATAGAGTATTCAGCTCTCTCATTGTGCTGCTGAGCCTAGTTGCCTCTTATTATTTTAGTATTTAAAAGAATCTAAAAAAATTAAATATAATTTTATTTGTAAATGGTATTTTCTATAATACTGTTTTGTCCAGATAGGAGACGTTGTAGCAATTTGCAGAGAAGAGATCACTATGGGACAATCAGTACAGACCTGATTTCATCATTATACACTTGTATATATAATTTGAATCAAAGGACAAACAATGGCTTTGCATATTTTCTCTATTTGGAATATATAGCACAGATTTCCTCCTATCTAGAATACCTTCAGGGAATTTCTTGCTTAATGGCTAAAGAAGATTCTGGTAAGATCTTTAATGGAATAAAAGGGGGCGGGGGAAATAGGTTAGGCGCCGCCCCCAGCCCAGGGCGTGATCCTGGAAACCCGGGATCGAGTTCTACCTCGGGCTCCCTGCATGGGGCCTGCTTCTCCTCTGCCTGTGTCTCTGCCTCTCCCTCTCTCTCTGTGTGTCTCTCATGAATAAATAAAATATTTTAAAAAGGGAAATAATTATTAATGACTCCCTAATTTTCTTGGAGGCCTCCTTTCTAAACATGAAGGCAAATTCCTCAGCAAAAATTTTCACTAAGTTTTACTAACCCTTCCACGTGGAGTGGAAGTAAAAGTGTAGCATTCTGTCCTTCAGTTTCATATATAGTAATGGAAACCAAGGAAGGCCACAAATAGGGACATAGTTCAGACTGATCCCTGGGAGTGAAATCACAGAGGCGATCTAGAACCCAAGGTCTTTTTCTGACTATTTTTGAGAATCTGCTTTTATTTTGAAAAATGTCTGGCTAGAAATAATCCAGGCTAATTTCAGAGCATGCATATGCCAGCTTCGTGGATAATTCAAGTACCAGTCCTTTTTGCTTTAAAAGTATTTTACTTATTTTTGTGCTTAATAGAGAGACTGATATAAGAGATATTTTATTACTTATCAATCTTGTTTGTATCTGTCTATTTGTGTGTATGTTTATGCATCTATTTGTATGTGTTCATTTCTACGCATATACAGAAATGAAGGGGACTTCAGCTGTCCAGAGATAAATAGCCTAGATCTTACTATAGTTTTTAAGTTAGTTTGTAAACCATAACCAGATATATGTCCTTTACCTTGTTATTTTTCTAGGCTTTTTCCTTCTGCTATAAAATAGAAAATTCCCATGAAAAAAAACTCCAGGACTCCTTTGGTCTCAAAACTTTAATAAATTTATATAAATATTCTGTTCCAGAGAACTTCTTTGTATGCTATTTCTGGACCACATATGGTGTGAAATTAACAAGGACAATATTTTATTTCGGTAGCTCTTTTTACAGCATCTTTTACTTCCTTGTTTCTCAGGCTGTAAATCATTGGGTTTAACATAGGAATCACCAGGGTATAAAACACAGATACCACCTTTTCTTGTTCTAAGGAATATTGAGAGCTTGGTTGAATGTAACTAAAGCTTATAGAGCCATAGAATAAAGTCACAGCCGTTAAATGTGAAGCACAGGTGGAGAAGGCTTTGTGTCTACCTGCTGCTGAGCGGATCCTCAGGATAGCAGCAACAATGAAGACATAGGAGATCATCACAATCAAGAAAGTGATCATAGCAATAATTCCAGAGAAGATTAAAAGCAACAGTTCATTCATGGATGTGTCAGAACATGACAACTTCAATAGTGGGGGAAGGTCACAGAAGAAGTGACTGATGATATTTGGCCCACAGAAAGACAATTTCACCAAACCAATTGTGTGTGTCAATGAGTTGATTAAGCCTCCTACACATGACCCAAAGACCAGGCCGATGCAAACTATTTTAGTCATAGCCACTGTGTAAAATAAAGGGTTCACAATGGCCATGTAGCGGTCATAAGCCATTGCCGCAAGCAAGAAGCCCTCAGTGGTAAGGAGTGACACAAATAAAAAATACTGCACAATGCATGCAGAGAATGAGATTGTCTCCCGTTCAACAAAGAAGTTCAGCAGCATTTTTGGTGCAAAGACTGATGAATAGCAGGCATCCACAAATGACAGGCAGCTAAGGAAATGATACATGGGTGTTTGGAGTTTGGGAGTTATTTGGATTAGAAAGACCATTCCTAGATTCCCCACCAAAGAAATGGTATAGATCAGCAGGAAAAGCACAAAGAGGACAACTTTCAGTTCAGCACGATCTGTCAGTCCCAAAAGGATAAACTCTGTAACCAATGTAAAATTAACATCAGCCATGGGTATGTATTTCTTGGTACCTGTTAATGATAAAAAAATTGGAGTCAATTGAGAAGAATCATGCCACACTATCAAAACTACTTGGAATCCCTAACTAGCTGTGCAACTTGAGCTGTTGACTTTTCTTTTCTGGTTATTTTACCTATAAAATTAGAAAATTTTAACTAGAAAGCATCTGGTCTCTTCAAGTACTATTTATTAGTCTATTCCAAAAGGATACTCCATGAGTGAAAAAAGAAAACATAAATAAATAAAATCTTTAAAAAAATAAAGTTCTCATTTTGGATTTAATGGCAGCTAATGTCAAATACATCAATAAGAATTAACTGTATTATGGCATTTGAACTGAGAAATTCCACTTATGTCTTCATGTTTAGCTTATATTCTACACTTTTTTTGTAAGTTGGATATGATGAAATACTAAGCCCTAACATCCAAAAACTTTGTGGTTATCCTTAGGAAACAGTTGGAGGCATTAGCTTCCGAGAAGCTAAGTACTGAGCTGGAATGGTAAACATGGCGATCAGCAAGTTATAATTGGCTTTTGGTATCCAATACAAATATCTTACTCAGGAGACTCAGGAAACAAAGTTTTTATACTTTTTCTGATAAAGAGCAAAGTAAACCTATAAAATAAAGCAAATCTATAAAACATACAGATACTTTTTACAATATTTTTTGGATGTTACAACATGTTTCCTCAAATATGCAATGTCTTTTCCATTTAATGCACAACTGTTGATTATTACCATATTTTGTTTGAAAAATAGCTATCTTTTTATATTATATAGAAAATAGAAATAAATATTTTAAATAGTTCACAGTTCTATAGCTTTACCTCTATATATTACAGAGAGATATTTTGATGGCTTCATTATCCTTTCACTTGGAAGACACTATTTCTTTAGTACAGTAGGTATAACTCAGAAACAAGACAACAGAGGATCCCTGGGTGGCTCAGTGGTTTGGTGCCTGCCTTTAGCCCAGGGCATGATCCTGGAGTCTCGGGATCCAGTCCCACATTGGGCTCCCTCCATGGAGCCTGCTTCTCCCTCTGCTAGTGTCTCTGCCTTTCTCTCTCTGTGTCTCTCATAAATAAAGTCTTTTTAAAAACAAAACAATACCATTATAAATTTATTGAAATTGTAAGAAATGAAGTAACTGTTTAGCTTTAGGATTTCTATACTGATGGGTGAGTAATCCCTATGGAAATATGTAATTATGACAGATTGCAATTCATCCTTTAGGGAAGAATATTTTACACTGACTAAAAAATGATTTTTCATTGTTTCAGTAGGCATTGACTAACGATTTTTTTATGTTAATGTAGAAAAAGAAATTGAAGTGTAGGATAAGGGGTGAGAATAAGTGGCCAGATTATAAATCCTTCCCAGTCTAGGTTTATAAGAATAAAATTAGAACATAATTTTTATGCCTTCTTCATCTTGTTTTTTGTATTTTTAGCTAATTTGCAAAATGTATTTGTCTGAAAGTCAAATAAGTGAGTTTCACTTACCAGTGGAAGAAAAACATATTCAGTACTTTAGCTTATTTGGGAACCTTATAGTCACTCATTCCAATGGATTATTTCTCTATATTCCTCCCCAAATAATCAATCAATCAATCAATCAATCACACAGAAAAGTTAAATTTGTCTAACACTTAACAGTAATACAAATTGAGTAAATGATAGTAGTTATAGGTAGGAAGATTAAATTCAAAATTTTCCTTTAATATTTGATAACCATAGGCAGAGCACCCATGGTATGAAAGCAAGAGCAAAATGGTCAAAAAACAATCATGTCAGAAGACAGGGCTAGATAAAAATTTAGTTATATATTTACTTAGGTTCTAATGGGAATAGAGTCCCTGGAGATAATATTCTGATTGAAAGGATATAGTAAATACATGATTAAAAGTTCCTCTGTGTTTCTTGAGGGATTTAGGAAACTCTCTAGACCTTAATGGCTCCCTGAAGGCATTTAATTTCCTGAATGTTAGAATGAATAGAAGGAAATGTAGGGCAAGTATAGGGAAAAAAACAGAATCTATAAATTCTGAAAAAAACAACGCAATAGAATAGATAGTGATACCTGCTTGGTACTTTTGCAAGAGAAGCTTTTCAGAAGAACCCATTAGTTGGGCCTACATGTTAGAAAACACACATGCACATATATACATCCACACACAGACAAAAGTGAAACTAAAACCCAAACATCAGTGAGCTTTAAGGTAGTAAAAAAACATGCAATAAAAAAAATTATGTTCTTTTGTTTTCTTGGATTGTGAGAATGGAATAAAAAAAATTAAAACTTCTATTTCTTCAAAGCTTTCCTTGAAATAAATCCAATCATCTATATCTTGAGTGGTTTATTCCTTCTAGCATGTGTCTGCTGAGAGACAACTTTTGGCATTTTGCCTTAGTCTTAAAATGAATAACAAGGAAATCTGGTAGCAATATTTCACAATGTTCCCTCACAGTGTGACATTGTAAATATGATTTATTTAGTTGTAAATAATCATTTGTGTACAATTCTGTAAATAAGAATTGTCCTTTATTGTTTATTCTAAAAGTGATTTCATTTTAACTTCCTAAATGTACATTCCTTAATTCCCTGATTGAAAACTAAGAGAGCAGGCGGTAGGAGTGGGGATTAGGTGATATTCTAAACTTGAATTAGGGGTGCTTGAGTGGCTCAATTGGTTAAGCATCTGCCTTCAGGTCATGATCCCAGAGTCCTGGGCTCAAGGCCTAATTGGGCCCCCTGCTCAGTGGGGAGTCTGTTTCTACCTCTGGGTACATTCTCGCTCTCTTTCTCCGTCTTCCTCTCTCTCTCACACACACACAAACACACTTGTTCTCTCCCTCTAATAAAGAAAATCTTTAATAGATAATAAATAAATAAATAAATAAATAAATAAACAAACAAACTTGAATTAGGCCAGAAGATGATTCATTATTTTAGAAGACCTAGAACATTCTAAGTACCTGATGCATTCTGGATTTTTCAAGTATATAATTTGTTACCAGTCCATATATGAAGAATTATGAGAAATATATATCAGAAATACAAAGAGATTAGGTTTCGTAGACCAATATCCTCTTTTCTCCTAGGAAGTTATATATAGATCAAGGACAATAAGTACCTAAAAAAGCTGTATAAATGTCTATTAGCAGGTGACAAAGGAGAGAATAAAATGGAGTAAATATTACTAAGAGGTTCATTTAAAATGGAGCTAGGAGGACATAGGAAGGGTGGGGCTAGAAGTCAAAACGTGTTCTATGTTAAAATGGACACAAATGGACTTTCTGCCTAATACTAGCTCTAGCAACCAATTACACATAGGTTAGTGTAACTAGAGATATATACAACACCAATCTCGTTTCATTCAAAATGACTTATATAAATTCCCTCTCCCCTCTTTAAATATTCTAAACTCCTTTGTTTCTCCTAAGCACACTTTTGGTTTTGGATGAATCTGTCTCTCTTGGATTGCAATCTCTAAGTCCCCAAATAAGCATACATTTTATTTTGCATCTTAACAGTTTTGTCTTTCCTTGGTTGACACAGGCTCTCAGTTGTGGAGGAAAAAAACAAAACAAAACAAAACAAAACAAAAACTAGTTCATTGCACTGTTAGGGATTTACCCCAAAGATTCAGATGCAATGAAACTCCGGGACACCTGCACCCCAATGTTTCTAGCAGCCATGTCCACAATAGCCAAACTGTGGAAGGAGCCTCGGTGTCCATCGAAGGATGAATGGATAAAGATGTGGTTTATGTATACAATGGAATATTCCTCAGCCATTAGAAACGACAAATACCCACCATTTGCTTCAACGTGGATGGAACTGGAGGGTATTATGCTGAGTGAAGTAAGTCAATCGGAGAAGGACAAACAGTGTATGTTCTCATTCATTTGGGGAATATGAATAGTAGTGAAAGGGAATATAAGGGAAGGGAGAAGAAATGTGTGGGAAATATCAGAAAGGGAGACAGAACATAAAGACTTCTAACTCTGGGAAATGAACTAGGGGTGGTGGAGGGGGAGGAGGGCGGAGGGTGGGGGTGAATGGGTGACGGGCACTGAGGGGGACACTTGACGGGATGAGCACTGGGTGTTATTCTGTATGTTGGTAAATTGAACACCAATAAAAATTAATTTAAAAAAAAACAGTTCAGAAAGTCCCTATCAGATCCTGTATCTTCTGTAGATCTGTTAATCCTCTGAGGTTATATGCAATACTATTTCCTTTTTTCTTTTCTTTTTTTAGTAATCTCTACACTAAACATGGAGTTCAAACTCAGGATCTCAAGGTCAAGAGTCAAATACTCTACTAAGTCAGCCAGGCACCCCATGCAATGTTGTCTTTAAAAGCACCTATTTCTGGGAAGTGGCCTCATACCAATCATCAGATACTTAAATGGATACCTAAACTAATATCTAATGGCATTGTTAATAAAAACTGATATTAAGCTTTTAAGTATTGATATTTATAACATTGGCAGGGCTGCAATTGAATTTGGTATCTAGAAAAATTAGGCAGCTTTATTTAAAATGAATTTAGCATATATTTATTGATTTGTCATGAAAGAAGCCTTTTCATGAAAAATATAATTCAGAAGTTATATTAATACAACACATTGAAGTGTTGTATTTTAGAAAATAATAACTTCTTTCAAATAAAGTTATTGAGGGATAATTATGATACAATAAACAGTATTCATTTCAAGTATATAATTTAATGAGCTTTGACAAATATATACCTGGACCAATTACTACCACAGTCAAAACATAAAATATTTCTATAACCCTCAGAGTATCTTCTTCTCTTTCTAAGAAACTGCCATCTCTGACCTCTAACTGCAAAGAACTGCTGATTAGTTGTACATCTATATTTGTAAAATTTGCTTTTGCAGAGTTTCATACAATTGGGATTATACAGATTTTTTTTGACTGGATTCTTTTTTGAATCAGGATAATATTTTTAAGAACATTAATATTGTTTTTTTAAGAACATTAATATTGTTACATAAATCTTTAGTTTTTTTCTTTCTTTTTTATTGCTTAG